ATCTCAGAATTCTGACTTTAATCTCAGAATTCTGACTTTAATCTCAGAATTCTGACTTTTTTTTCTCAGAATTCTATATATGATATGACTTCCAGAAAAAATAAGACACAGGTAAATGGACCTTTCTCTATTTATGACATTATCTCTACCTGTATGACTGTTTAAATAGCGTTTTTAAAGTTATCAAAGTTTAGATCAGTCTATGCTGAGAAGAACTGCTAAAGCCTGTAGATGTGTGACGCTGGTGAAGATGTTCACTAAAACACTCGCAACTGTTACTGATTCAAAAAGGTGATTCATCAAAGGGCAAACTGAATACAAGTATATTAAATCCATATGTTCAGCTTCTTCACCTCTTTATGTTATTCTAGCACATAAAATCACAATTATATATGCAGAAGTTTGTGACAAAAACATGAAGTTAAAGGAGTTTAACACACTTTTGCAGGCTATTGTATAAAGAAACCTGTTTCTACTTAAAAATGACAAGAAGTGACTCACAAGCTGGTGGTTGGTAGGGTTGGAATCGTCATCTGGATATGGCTTTGTGACCCCCATGGCAACACAGTTGGCAAATATAGCTAAAAGAATGAAGATATCAAAAGGCTTGGGGGATGTAGTTAAGGCTTTAACAAGCATTTGCAGAATAAATCCACAAAATGTAACCTGTGCAACAAATAAAAAGGATATTTCCACTCCACCAGGGCCAGCGCCGCCATGCGGATGGGGTTGCTCAGAGTCAGGCAGCAAAGGGCTCGGGGGGCTCTGAGGGCAGACTTGTTGGCCTGCATCGCCTTCTTGGCCCCCCCTCCCCTTTTCCTGGCTGAGCCAGTTGAACCCAGGGTGTCCGATTTGCCCACATCGCCCACTGGAGGGGCATCTGTCAAAAAATGGATAAAAGGGGATAAAAATCAGAGATAGAAATGAAAACATAAGAATTTTTACTACAAGGCCATACTATAGAATACTTTCATAACAAGAAAATACTGTATTAACAATATAAATAATACATTACAAATGGATATAAGTTACATTTTTGAAGAATTGAAGAAACAGTGGGCCTCAACGCTCATATTTAGGCAGTATTATTTTTTTCATTTCTGTTTATAACAGTAGGAAGAATATGAACTTTTACAAAGATGCTGCCAAAATTTACTCATCTACTAAAAAAATGCTCTTAAGCTGCAGAACACATCCCTGGAAAACCCTTAAATATTGTCCCTTGTTTTAATATAACAAAATCATTCCTAGTTTTGCAAAAAGCTTCTGTGATAACTGTCAAAGTAGATGTTAGGGTTCTGCCCTCTGTTTATTTTTAGTTTCTTCGTATTTGTAGTTGTTTTCTACCGGTGATTTGTTCTTCAGTTACTCTCAGTTGCCCCCTTGTGATTGTTTCCTTTCCCGTGGCTTCCTTCTAGTTGCTTCCATCCACACCTGCTGCTTTTCAGCTCACTAGTTCAGTCTTTGCTCTGTCTCCTATATATACTATCCCTGTGCAGTTCATCGGTGCTGGTTCCTCATCTTTTCTTGGCTCCGAAAATGAGTTTTCCCCTGAAGTTTTCTGGTTTTTGGTTCCTTGTATTTTTGTACTTTTGTTTTTGGATTTTTGCCTCGGTTAACTTAGTAAATC